ATAATACAGACATCAGCCAAGAAAGAGGAATTTCCATGATAAAGCTCAGCAGTGTTCTATCACATGCAAGGGCTCTATAAGTGTTTTTCATCAACAGACTTTGGCTATTGCTACTGTATATGTTTGACTGGATGTGATCCCAAAAGACTCTGCCAACTTTAAGATAGAGTGGAACGTTGTCTTGACAGGCTACCATCATCCAAAACGAGCCAACTCTGATCTCCGAACCATCTGATGAAGACTGCAGAAGATGCACACTTTACTCAGTTGGAGCGCGCAATTCCCAGAGCCGCTTTGATACCTGATATTTAGACATGCAGGCCCATGCTGTGACCCCGCAATCACTTTTTGCTAGAGACACCCAATACCAGAGTCCTTAATCCTGCCATACCGCCTCAGTGGGAGAGGCGGGAGAAGGAGGCGGCTGCAAGGCATTTCATGCCTGGGAATCTCATGACCCACCGGGGATTAATAGGCATTCTGTGAGGTGCCTTATTTTTGGCTTGTTGCCTCTCGCTCTCTGATGTGTTCATCTCTATCTGGCTCAACACTTGTATGTTGTATATTAAACTGTATTTAATATTCAATCAAAATATCAAAATCTCTCATTTTCAGCTACTCAAATACAAAAATGCCTATTTTAGGCTCAGTATGGGTTATTATAAGTCACACTAGCAACTATTAGACAGATTGCCATTTAATTTGGTACATATATTCAAGGGTAAATACTAATGACTTTGGCAATCCCCTAACTGTTCATCTTTCCCTGTCATGAGGTCAAATTGTGAATTTGCCCAATATCAACAGATGCTCCTCTCAACCCCACCTTTGGTTAAATTAATAGCATGCTAACAGGCTAAACTAAGATGATGAGCCTGGTAAATATTACCTGCAAAACACAAGCATGTTAACCCTGTGAGCATGGTAGCATGCTAACATTAGCATTTTGCCTTAAAGCATCACTGTAGAGCTTCACAGAGCTGCTAACATGGGGGTACTCTAAGTGCGGTGTTTTGGTTGATAAAGTACATTTCTGTCTCCCTGTGTGTAATTGGACTTATTTAACCAGTGGGAATTAAAATTAAGAGTAAATCACTGTATAATTGAATCTACAGTAGAGGGGAAAATGCAGTCCTAAATCGAAGTGCATTGTTGTTAAATAAATTATATAAGAAAAGGAGTTTTATTCTACATAATTCTTTCATTCATCAACTATCTTGAGCATGTGAAGGCAGCGTTACAGAAGTGTCTGGGCAGTATTGTGTCAGATTGGAGGTGTTAGGACTGCAGCTGTGAGTTGTGGCTCAGTGTGGGTGGCGGCTATCTCGCTGCTGGGGCGGTGTGTTTATGTGTGCTGGGGTTAGGGCCACGCGCACAGTGCAGGCATACACACTAACCCACACACACATTCACACACAGAAAAACCACAGAGACTCTATTGATTCTAGCTAATCAAGGCAGTGGCACTGGGGGAAGCTGCACGTGTGTGTGTGTGTGTGTGTGTGTGTGTATGTGAGTGTGAAGTCAACACATTCCTCACATTCCAGCACTTCCCAAAGAAGCATAAAATATTAGCCACCACGCTGAGCTCACAGGCCTCTTCTCTCTGCTGGAGTCCTCCTGCTCTTCAACTCCTCTGCTTTTTCTTTCTGACAAGTGACTGTGCACTTCAGTCTTCAACAGTACTTTTTTTCATTTTTAATTCCACCCACATGATGACCATGGAGGGACTTCTGGCTGAATCACACTGACAGCACAAAGACTCCACATATTCACGTCTGGTTTAAACTGGTCCTTCTCAACTGGTATTACAGCTAAATCTGACCTCGCCCATAATGTTGCAACCGATTGCATGTGCATATAACTGATGAAAATATCATAAGAAACATTTTCTAAAATTAAGTTTGATCTTATTTTGTTTTGGATAGTTTTATAAATACTATAATTGTGTTATAATAATAGTATCATAGTCGTAGATCTGTCTTGTAGAGGTCAGTTAGTTCTGCCAATTCTTCACCCTTCAGTCTTTACTGATAAAAGTAGTACTATGGTATGATGGGCACATGCTTGACTTAAGCCTGTGAATAGTGATTATTTCCTTAGAATTGATAAATTGTGTGGTCTATAACATTAAAAAAAATCAGGTCATGTTTTCTACAAATATCTTATTTTGTATGACCAAAAATCTTACTCATAATCAGGACATTTTCCCATCTGAGAAGCTTAAACCAAGGAATATTTGGCATTTTTGCTTGAAAAATGAATTAAAGGTCCAGTGAGTAACATTTAGGAGGATTTATTGACATAAATTGTATATAATATTAATTAGTATGTTTTCATTAGTGTATAATCATCTGAATATAGGAATTGTTCTGTTTTTGTGACCCTAACCCTTATCTACAGATACGGCTGGTTGCTTTTCGTGGAGGCCGCCATCTACTAGATCTACTGTAGCCCAGAGCGGACAAACCAAACACTGATTTTGGAAAGGGCCTTTCACGTTTTTTCACGTTTTTTTCAGCCACCATCGTTTCTCTCTCATGCTTGTGAAAGGGAAGGTAAAGCATCGCTAAATATCACAAAATCCTACACACTGGACCTTTAAACAATTAACTGATTATCAAAATAGTTGCCGATTGACTGATGGATTTAATCAACTAATTGTTGCAATTCTAGTGAAAATACATCCTTTACAGAGCAAGAAGATAAATGCTGCCCTTGTTGACAATCAGTGCTTATAATCCAGGTCGGAGTACAGTGCACACCATCAACACTCTGGACAGTGATGCAGATATCAATTACTTTACAATGGAATCACCTGAAGACTTTGTGCATCTGTTACCGGCAGCTGAGAGGAGGGGGAGAGGGAGCTCTGACAAAAAGGACAGCTGGACCAGCAAGGAACCCAACAGTCAAGTAATGCCCACTGACCCTCCTCTTCCTCCTCATCCTCCTCCTCCAAGGCTCCAGCTCTCAAAGCCAAAGCGAGAAGGTTCACAGTAAGGCATCGTTACCATAGGAACTCTGTTTGCATTTCCCAGTGAACAATTACGGGACCGCTGGCTTTCAGCTGGAATTCAGACATTCAATTCAATGCACAGAGCTGTCTGGAAAATCAATTGTCTATGTGGAGCAACTTCTTGAAAGACATTCTAGATGCATTTCCGTTTAAGTGAAAAGGCAGACAAAAAGAGCCTCGGCCACGAACTGGATGTCATCTTAACAGGCCTGGCCCGCAGGCTGCATCATCTGTTGTAGCAGTGCAGCTAAGAACTCCAATAACCTGACGCGTTTCTCGTGTTTTTATTTGAGGTGATGAAAAAATTTAAAGCCTTCCTTTAAACAAGGAGCCTGAGCAGAGCTGTACATGCCAATCAAAATTTGGAGTGTGGTTGGAGAGTTCTCTGCTTTCTGCTGCGTGCCCAGTCACAGGGCTGCTGTATTCAGGTCTGTCTTCAGTCCTCTCTCTCATACCAGGGTGCTGCGCTGGAACAAAGAGGCCTTTCACATTGACCTTGACACACGGCCACCCCCATCACCACAGGAACCAACGCAGAGGAATCCACTCCAGCTCTCTGATATCAATCTCTGTGTAACCCTGGCAGACGGTCCCAGCTCAAGGCTGAGGTGAACCTTGGAGACGAGGCTAATGCACATCATATGAGTATGTTTTTATTCCAGCAGAGAATATAGAAAAAAAGAAGCCGTTAGCACCACTGTGAATAATAAATTTGATCTGAAATTACCCACTAGTCCATCTAAATTTTGGGTTTATAGTGCTAGTGGACCAAAATAAAGTGGCAGAGTGATTGTTGATTGATTGTTATTATTTTCAATATCAAAGCACCCAAAACTTTTTCACAACTGAATATGCCTTTGAATGTTTGTTACGTCCAACCAAGAGTCCATAACGCAAAAATATTCAGTTCACAATGATATAAAACATAGAAAAGTAGCAAATACTCATATTAGAGAGCTGTAAATAGATGATATTTGGCTTTTTTTGCCTGCCATGTCTGTCCAGACTCATCAATATATTGATTAATAGATATAAAGTGTATAAACTGGCTAAAGGGAATTTATCACAATATTGACAGTACATATGTGAAATTTCAGTTTCAGTTTTTTGAACTGATTAATGAAGGATTATCATAGATGTATTGGCTAAACAGGTACATACATGTACTTCATTACTATGTACAGGTGGTATATAGCTTTACAAAATGTGGTGCTTTTGTTTCCTCCTGGCGTTATTAAATATGAAGTCTCTCTGTGAGCTGGAGGTGAAACTCACTCACAGGATTAACTAGGAGCACTGATACGTTTGCTGTCACGGGATTCTGACAAATAAAATTCAGAATGAGGAAGTAAGTGAAAGGCAGAATGGATGAGATGGAAAGATGAAAGCCGGTACTGTGTTAGTTTACTCACTGCTTCTTCCCACTCAGTATGTGTGTGAAATTTGGAATTTGGCCCAACTCATCCTTAACCTATTTTTTATACAAAAATAGGTCACCAATTCAGCGCCTGAAATATGGTCACATTCTCTTCTTCTATTGTGAAATCTTGTCATAATAACCGCATCAGTTCTTGAGTTACGGCCAAAAACAGGTTTCCAATGTCATAGTGACCTTTGAGTCAAGTGTCACCAATTTATTGTCTGACTAGTTGAGAAATATGGTCATCAATTCTTGGGTTATGGCCAAAAATGTGTTTTGTGAGGTCACAGTGACATTGACTTTTGACCACCAAAACATAATCAATCCATTCATGAGTCCAAGTGGATGTTTGTATGAAATTTGCAGAAATTCCCTCAACGTACGGACAACCCTCAAACATAATGTCTATAGCGGCGGCATAAAAATCTAATCTATTATACACACTGCGTCTCCAAAAAAATAAAAATAATCCAAAAGCAATGGTCTGTCAAAGTTAGACTGTGCCCACTGGAGATTTTGTTAATCATTTATTTTACATGTAAACACCAGTCTTCAATACTGTTCCATGGAATAAAAGCTTTTATTCTCAATGGCAAAAAAACAAGATCTTGCTTTTTTTTGGTTTGTTTTTTTTACAATTGTCCGGCCTGAAAAAAAACATGAATTCAGGCATTAAATTGCGAATCATTTTTTAAACAAAATAAAAATAAGAGGCTTTCACTTTATACATTTCTGTCATAAGAAATGACTTCAGAACTGTACATCAAGCTTTTTACAAAGCACGCAGAGTTTCAAAATATACAATGTTCATTCACATTTTATACAAATAAAAAAAAAACAAATGGGGTTTTGCTACATTTAAAACCTGGGAGATCCTTGTCTGCGAGTAAAGGCAGTCTGAAGACATTCCACGTTACATCACGTTCGACTCCATCCAGCATGCTGCTTGGCAACATTCAGGAGCTCCATTCTTCGTCTCCAAAGAGTCACGAGCCAGCAGGAGAGGAGAGAGGCTCTGCCACTGGGCCAGTCTGTCAGTCTCTTTCTCTGCTTAGCATGAACTCTTCGTTCAGCTCTCCTCCCCACCCAGTGAGGACTTGTCCTATTTCCAAGCGTGTGCCACACTCAGTCGGTGTCCACTTGACAGGGGTTGGTCCCCTGCTGCTGTGCCTCATGATACAACCGCAGGAAGTCTTTGTAGCGTGGAGCGCAGCCCATCCAGGCCTCCCCAAACCTCACCGTCCCCGTGAAGAGGAACTCGCCCTCGCCAGACCTCACCCTGCACTGGAGGGGCATCTTGATGTGGCCAGTCCAGCTCCGTACCCTCACGCCGCCAGATGCAAAGACCTGGGTCTTCTGTCTGTAGAGGCGGCTGATCTCCACAGTGACGGACGAGTGCTCCTCCTCCTGCTCCACTTTCTTAATGCTGCCCCGTGCCACTGAAAACAGCAAGGAGGAAGACAAGATTTAGATGCTGGTAATGACCATAGTTCATGCTGCACAGAATGTTTTCATTGGACCTTTCTGCACACCATACAGCAGCAGCGGGAAGCCTATAATTCTCCCAAACAGTGCTTTAACTTACCAAAGTCATTGGTGCAGACTGCTAGAAGCATCTCAGCGTCGCTGCAGGGCTGACAAGGTGCTAAGAGAAAATAAAGAGACAGGGTGGATGAGTTTGGAGCCAAAAATTCAGTAGTGCACTACAAACAGAAACAGGAAAGGTTCACGATTTCTTTAGCACTCCCGGTCTTGCAGCATGATAAAAATCTTGTTGATGGGGTCCACAACTTTCCAGTTAAGTACCACTTACATAAACATACAACTGTGGTTGGGCCAGCCATGTGTGTTCTTCACACACATACACACACATATACACACACACAAAACTGAGGTCACAGTAATTTCCATCTCCACAGATTATTATTTATTGACAAAGCCGGCAGAGCACGATTCCGCTGTCATGGGCTCTTGTTTTAACACCAAACACAGCTTGGCATGCTGCTGATCATAAAAAAAAAAAAAAAGTTCATCACTGCTTATTTAAAAAAAACGCTGACGAGTGATTAATGCTCACAGGGGCTTTTTTGGTTAGCTTCCTCAGCACAAGAGGAACCCCTTGATACTCCATGACAAACAAGGACCAGATGAAAAGGATACAGACACGAGGAAGGGCTACATCTCTGACCTCAACTCTGTTAGCACTTCAGCAGGCCTGCTGGGGCTGAAACAGTGAGTCTCAACTCTAACATCAAGTAGAGTTTTTAACAGCCTCAAAAGTAAAAATCACTTCAGTAAGGGCAGATAAGAAGGACAATAAAAGGGGAGCCACAGGAGGGCAAGCTCTCAAAACTAGAGGGCTACTAATTGAATGATAAAGAAATGTGAAATAGCCTCTAACGCAGTACTTTAAAAGCCTCCCCCAAGCTACATTTCCCCTATGACTGGTGGCAAGCTGCAACTCAGCCTGTCTGCCTCCAGAGTGTTTTATAGCAGGAGAAAGGGCCCTAAATGAGAGCAGTCAAGTCAGTGATTAGTTGACTCAGGTGGTCTTGCGGCTGGCCTGACCAGAACGCCTTTATTAGCCCTAGTTCTGCTGTGGTTTGAGTGGCACGGGGGGCAGCTGGGGAGAGGAGGAGTGGGGGGGAGGCAGAGGGATGGCTTGTCGAGTCAGCAGTGGGCGGACGGTGGAACAGCATAAACTGCCCATCCATAAAATCAGAGGGAAAAATGTTTAAAACTGTTATCTCAGGTGCATTGGAAACCACAAGTCGGGGCCATAAATCTGAAAATTAATCTCGTTTAGAAATGAAACATTCTTGAGAAAAACACGCAGACCACCACCCTGAATTATGTCCAGAAACAGAGATGTGTGCTCTCTGTCAGCTTTAGAGAGCTAGAGCTTATTTTTAGCCAGCTTGTCTGAAGTTGAGGGCATAGGGGTGAGCATGTCTTAGGTCACCTTGTGTAGCAACACGATGCGCTGCCGAATCACCGGAGAGATCAGAGGTCAAACAGCCACAAGCTCGGACGGCTTAAGAACAGCTGGAGAGCCGGGAGACTTCAGAGGGTCCGACCTCGCCCAGAGCCTGGAGCAGAGCGCAAAGGCCTTTTGAAGTTAGCCTGCGTGCTGCCAGTGCATCAGAGTCAAGGCCTAAACCCAGGGTTGTTGTTTTTTTTTTTTTCCTTTCTGCCGCAGCAGAGTCGAGCAGGGCTCACATGTCAGACATGAAACAGAACCACAGGAATGGGCTGAGAGCCGAGTCAGCATCTCTCTCTGGCCCGTGCACAAGCAGCGCCACTCTGATCAGAACCACTTCACAGGGGCAGTGAAGGATGAGGGATGGGACCAGTGGTAACGAGTGGGGAGTGGGGAGGGGTACGGTATAGTGTCCCTGCAACATCTGGGCCGTGATGCATTCCTCTGTAATGGAGCACAACTTGCTAATACCACTCGGCACAGACGAAAACCACTTCAAACAGCCAGGAAGAGAGAGGGGAAGATGTATGAAGGCGAGAGGAATGAAAAGGAAAATACTAGAATGATAAATAGACAAGAAAGAAGAGGTAGGAAATAGTGAGACCGAGGGGAAGAATAATTTAAGCGGGCTGAAAGGCAGGCCGAAGGAGTGACACGCCTATATGCTCCTAGAAGACCCTCCCAACATCTGGTTGGAGATACATTCCTGCTCGACGGTGAGCAACTCAATCCCAGCACAGCGGGTCAGAGAGAAGAGGAAGGGAGAAGAAAGGAAGAGAAAAAAAAGAAGATGAGAAGAAGCGAATGGAGCAATCAATCCACCAGTCCGGGCTTCAGATGACACGAGACCACTGTCTTTGTGAATCATCCCAGTGCTATCTCAGGCCACATCACAGAGCCAGATTATACTCCAGAGCTGAGCAGCACACACTAATGTGGTCAAAACAACTCCACGCTCACTCCTCTCTACTTTTAACCCTCTCCCTCCCTCCCTCCCTCCCTCCCTCTCTCTTTCTCTCCACTGCGCCATGACGCAGGATGTGGATATGTGAACCAAGAAAAGCCGTAAAAACAGATGTGGGCCCCGATACTGCTCATATTTTGCTTTAGGTGGAAAAAAAACACAGTTGCTTGCACAGTTGCGCAGCTTGAAACTGTGCAGGTTTGGCAGGTACGCAGCTTGAAAATAGACAGCTGTTTTTGAATGGAGGCCCTCTGCTTGGCTGTGCAGAGTCATCCCAAAAAACAAATACAGCTTAGAGCCAAGTCAAGTGTTTAGTTGTGAAATGAGCTCAAATATGAACATTTTATCCTAAAAAAACACAAGCTCCGTAAAGACTTAACGGCATCACATTTTGGTGTTTTTGATACTCACAGCGAGAGTTTCAGCATGATGGGGAAATTCTCAGAAAAACCAAAATGTACAGACAATGCTACCATGGACTTTGAAGAAATGGACTTTGGCTTCAGTATTAGCAGCGTGCTGGAGCAAATGTTGAGTTTCCTACTATTAGAGTCCAACTTAATAAAAAATTCCACCAGTAGATGGCTGCATTTAGTGCACAGCACACACCACAGGGACAAAGCACAAAGGAACACAGTCCTAGAGGGAATCAATCAAAACCGAGTCCTCAGACCTTTATAATGGTGACTTAGATGAAATAGAAGACAGTGTCTGTAGGTTTACCACTAATATCGTACTTTAAAAGCATCATAACGAAGATGTGTCTTACCTCCCAGTGAGCGCGCCTCTGGTCCCAGCCTGTCGCTGACCAGCTCGTACTGGAACGCTGTGATCCGGCGGCTGATGTCCATGTGCGGGACAGCCTCGATGAAGAGTGCCCCCTCCCGGATGCTGAAGCATTGCACCTTGCCCTGAGCTTGGTCCTGGTCACGCAGCAGCAGCCGCAGCTTGCCGTTGCGGTCAAGGTAGATGTTGGTGCCCGTGGAGTCGGCAGAGGGTTTGATGCAGACGGAGAGGCGGGCGGCGGCGGGGGAGACCGTGTTGGGCCGGAGGTTGACAATGATGGCCCCCGTTGGATAGAGCCACTCCAGAGAGCCCTGGGAGCAACGCAAGTACACCTGCTCCACGTCCCTGGCGTGGCCTTCGTGAGTCAGACCACTGGAAGAAAAGAAAGGGAAAGACGTCAGCGGACATCAACCATTCAAGACAGGCATTGTCAAAAAAACTCTGGAAAAAAAAAAAAAAAAAGTGTACAATTACAGAAACCCAAGAATGTGAAAGCTTTCTTTGTGGAGATGTGTTTTTCAAACTCCGGCTGAAACGTTTTTCTCTTAATGCAGCATGAAGGGATTACTCAGTAATCTAAAAATGATTTTCTGGTCATTTATATCCTCAGTTAACTGACCAAGGTGAAGACCTCTGGCAGACCGTAAGGACATTAGACCACATTCCTCCTAAGGCATTAAGGGCCGTCTGTGCGCAAGACTGGCTGCATGACCAGTCACGAGCCGGAGCAGCCAAAATGACCTCAGTTCCAACACCCCCCCCCCATACCACATTGTTCCTCCCAGAGCTTTGGCAAAATGCACCACTGGCATGCTGCCTTTGGGAAGAGTTTGGAAGCAGAAATGGATGAATGGAGGGACACAGGGGCTTCTGGGCAGACAACGGCAGCAACAGTAGCTGGGCCTGCTGCATGCAAGTGCAAATGCAGGTCACGCACCGAACCTCCCCTTGCTTTCAAGCCACCAAAGAGACTGGAAGAGACTTGTCCGGGCAGCACTTCGGACTCTGGCGCCAGCATGACCAAATGACTCCCTCCAGAACTTAATGCCTGGTCAGGGTTTGAAAACTCCAGGCTGTCAGTCATTCTGTGGCAGAGCCAAAGGCAGGAAGCCATCAGCAGTCTACCAGCATGCACATGCCAAGCTAGTGGTTTGACTCTGGGGGAGAAACGCCCAGTTTCCTGAAAATGAGATGCTGAAATTCAAATTTGCCATAGATCTAAAGTAACCCATGGCACATGCTGAGCATATGCAGCTGAAGCCCCATAACCAGGCTCTCCTCAGCACGCCTCTAATTAAGTCCCTTCTAACTTCATCACTTCTGCATGCAATTAAAGGAGATTAGTCAAGAGTCTCACTAATGAACAACAGATTATTGGTTAAGAGCTCAAAGTACAGATTATGGCCTACCCCTCCTGAGTGGAGGATGAAAAACAAAACCACACTATTTGAGGCACAGCTTCTCAAGTGCAAAACAGATTTCAGCAGATGTTTGATGGGAGGTGAAACTTTCCAGTACACTGCCTGAGGTTTTAGAATCTGTTAGAAATATCTTGAAATATAAACCAAAAAATACTTTTAAAGGCTCTCGAGGAGATCTGAACATGTAAAAACTGTGGATGTCTCAGTATTTTTAGACAAAAGCATGAATAAAAACTTCAGAATAACGAAGCTGACTGATATTTTATGACATCTGATCATTGTATGGGTTGTAATAAATAAATGTGTAAAAAGGTTTATGTCATTCCAAACACTAAGAACACTTTTATTAAAAATGTATTGGTGGATCACATCCCTACTGTGACCTGATCATTTCTCAACCACTCGTTCATAAACTCAGCACAACCCAGACCAAAACTCTCGTGTTTGTTAGTAAACTACTGTATTGTTCATTTCCTCTCACATCACAAAAAAATAAAATAAATATAAACATTATGAATTCAGTCCAAACTTTTGGTTCAATATTTGTATTTTCTCCTGATTCGTGGCTCTGTTTCGTTTAGCTCTCTGAGTTTCGGTCACACTCATTTCACCTCACTTACTTCCACACACTTTATTACAATCCCTTTTTTTTTTTTTAAATCAACACTTTAACGTGGTACTGGATAAAACCGGACCGTGAACCTCACCTGCCCTTCCAGCTGCACTGGTCGCTGGAGTACTGGCAGAAAGAAATCCGACAGAGAAGGAGAAGAGGCAGCAGGGAGGCCAGCATCGGGCTGAGCATGTTTATCTCGCAGCTCACTTCGCCTCCTCTCGAGTGAAACTATGATGAAGTCCCGCCGCCGTGTTTCCAGCTACATAGCGTTTCCATGTGACCCCGGTCCGCTCCGGTCCGCTCCGTGCCGCTCCGTGCCGCTTCCTACCCCCGGGGGTTTGCTCCTTCTGTTCTCGGACAGTGCGGAGGAATAACGGCGCTTATGGAAAAGGCTCGGTCGGTCGCAGAGACCCGGTGCTGAGAGTCCTGTTGTAAAATGTGGACTGAGTTCAGCTCCGACTGCAGCCTTGATTGCTCTCCACGTCACACCCCATCCACTGCAGTTTGTCACGTATGTTGCTTTCAGGTGCTCGGCCGAGGCTCCGATCTTTGCACTTCGTGATATAACACGGCAGCTTTTGGCATCTAGGAAATTGGTTAATGGCTTTTTTTGTTCTTTGTTTTTTTGTTTTTATCAATACCATTGAGCCACTCTGTTATACAGTGGTAGACATAGGTGCATTAGTTTAATGAAATTAGTCAGAAACACAAATAGGCCTGAGACAGACTGCGTGAGATTAAACACAAATAAACAAACAAACAGATTATCAATGGAGAAAGAAGTACTCATATCTTTTACTTAAGTAAAAGTAGCAAGATAACTACTCTGTAGAAATACTGTCCAGTGAAAGCATGTTTAAATGTAAACGTACAAAGGTATGACAAGCCAAATACACTTGAAGTACCAAAAGTAAAAGTACTCACAGTGCAGAATGGTTCATTTCAGAATAATGTTTATTATGTTACTGGATTGTAATTATAGATGCATTAATGTGTACATATTGTTAATGTTGAAGCTGGTAAAGTTGGAGCTAAGTTTAATATATTAACTTTATATACTGCTGGTTTGTGTGAAGTTCCCCCTAATTTTATCATCATCTCTAATAATACATTATAATTATAACATAACAGACTTGTTCATTTAATGTTCTATTACTAATCTGAATCAACAAAGTAATTCAAGTATTCAAATTAAGGTGTAAAAAGTACAATATTTCCAATTATAAGTAGAAAATAGCAGAAAGTTTAAATACTCAAGTAAGTACATGTACCTCAAATTTGTATTTGTGTTTCTTAAACACATTCCATACATACATCATCATGCACAGTTGTTTGATTGTTATGATGGAAAATTCCCATCTTCCCATTATCTATTTTTTATTTTTAATGCCTTGAAATGATTCACCTGAAAACAAGTGGGGAAAGTTCCGACAGCACTTGAAGTGCTCATGAAAGTCAAGAGTTGTGTTTGCTGAGGATAACAACAGACCTACCTGCTCACCTTCTCATAATTAGGGAAAATTAAAAAAGACAATTAACTGGCAATATTCCTAAAACAATACTTTTATCTTTCCTGAAGTTTGTGAAGTCAGGCCAAGTGGGGGGAAATTAAAAACAAGCCGAGATCATCCATTAACGCCTTCAGAGGAAACATTAATGAACTACCAGCAGAGTAAAGTAACCCAACTGTTGCTCAGTTTTACTGCATTGTGCAATAGTTTTCAGCAACTGTAGAGTATGTTGAAATGTTGAGAAGTGGTCAGTATCACAAATACTCACCACTTCTCAGGCCTTAACGGTACATTAGCAATTACTCTAATCACCACAGCAGATTTATATAATTCAATTATTTGTAAAAATGTTTGAAGGATGTATAAGAGGGCCACAGGCAATACATATGTAGACATTTTATTCACCATCTAGGAGCATATTGATTGTTATTTATGTTTATATGAGGGTTTTTTGGCTGGAGAGAAGAACCGACTGAAATTGAAAATCATGGTTTGGTGCTCTGGTCATTGCACCACAAACATCTGTAAATATGGGCCACATAAAGGGATGCATGAATGAAAGTCATAAGTATTGGTCAAGTAAACACAACTTCACATGTTGTTTTATGTGAAATGATGGTGGTTGTATGCCTAGAGAGCCTAGAAATAATGTCACAGGGGCTCCAATATTTCAATTTATTCTGTAAAAGTTGATTTATAAGATGAGTGGGGATCTGGAAAACCACATGTCAGAAAACCACACAATGCATTTGAGACAGCTCTCAGGTCAAAGAGCCTTTTCAAAACATCCAGTGAAAATAATTAAATTTATATAATTAAGTTACTTGACAACTCATATATAACTGTATGACACAAAAGTTTAAAAACAAAACAGTGAGCTACAACGCAGCTCTGTTTCTGCAGGGACTTGTAGAGCGGCGGGGTCCGTTACCACTGGGTGCATCTGTAAACATAAACTACTCATCACTCAAGTGGAGGATCCTGGGTTTTCTTATGGAACAAGATGTTTTGTGTGTGGATGGTGTTTGGCATGGGAAAGAAAACCCGTCTGACGAGGAAAACCAGAGCAGTTTGTAACTGTTACTCTTCCTCTCTGGTTTCTTAGGACTCGGAATTGGTTGTGGCTGGTTGGGGATTGACATGTCTTTATTACTGACCCGACATGCAGGGTGCATGTCCACGCCTGGGCCGCATACCACCAAGGGGCCCTACAAACCTCAGATGTATGTGCAGATAGTTGTTTTTTTATTGTTTTTTATTTGACTCTAGCTTCTCCCTCTCTTATAAAATTGTTCAAACTCTCTCAGCCATCTTCCAAGCGTGTACATTGATAAACTCTTCAGTATCATTTGCGCAATCTAGTGGATTTTGGCTGGTGAGTGCGTGCTCCGGTTTCTGTACAGTCCTTGCCATATTGCAGGCTGTTTGGGAGTTATACCTCTTGATGAGGTAACAGACAGGCGTGTCTGAACATGATGTCTGAGGAACCATCACAGGGACACCTGCGCTGTCTCACCAAAGCTACACCTGTTAGAGTTTCCCAATGATGTCAGTGAATTTATCCACTCTGTGTCCAGAATTCTTGTCATATTCTAAGATAAAGGGGAACTCCACTGATTTTACACATGGAAGTCTGTTTGCAGTTCTTCAGGAGTACTACAGCAAAGAAGTTGTATAACGCCTTTTATGGCCAGAGGGAGCTGTGTAAAGTCTAATAAACTGCCTCAAGTGATGCCACATAAGGCAGCAGTGGTTTGGTCTAAAGACTCGAAGTTTGAAAGTGAAAAAATCCGGGGATGTGGAGATAGCTCGGTAGCCCCCTCCTAGGTGCTGCGATTAAGAAGAAGAAGAGCATAAAACAACAGAATCTCCAACTGAACTGTCGGATGTCAAATTGCAGAAAAATGTGTGGAATAAAAAAGTCAATATATCTTTTTCTGCTGTTCCAGTTTTGATCCTTTTTTAAACTGACCACTGTGAGTGTGACCAAGTTAAAGCAGTGTAATGCTATCGGCCGTGTACTGTTTTACTATAATTTACTTCATTGTAGGCCTACTAAAAAAAATATGATACAACACATGCATACTGATGACACCAATCAAACTTGGAGTCTGAAACTATGACCAGTTACATTCTGAGCAGTCACCAGAGCAATGACATAACTTTTATCATTTATTATATTATTATTTAATTACTTCACCTTTTTCCAGGTTTGAGTATTGAGCATGTATGTGCGCAAAAATAATGGGGCAGTAACTGTACTTTACAACTTGCATACTGACATTTTTACAATTTACAGCAGACTCATAACTAGAATTAGAACAACAATTTTGATGAGCTATCAATCATTCAATTATCAATCAAAATGCAAAACAATTGCTGGTTCCAGCTCACCAAATGTGAACATTTTCTGCTTTTCTCTTGTTTTATAATAATAATTGTAAAAGGAATATTTTGGCTTTTGAACTGTCAGTAAGACAAAACAAGCCATTAAAAATGTCATCATGCCCTGTGTGCTGGTTATTTTCATTATATCTCTTTTAGAGACATTTTAGAGACAAAACAATCCGACAAATGTAATCAACAGATTAAGCTATCAAGAACATAATGTGAACAGCCTTTGTCAAAAGTTAGGTCTTTCTAAAAACAAAAACCCACACACACACGCAACATTATTTCCCAGAGAAATTAATCTCTTTCAAGAAGGGTGCGTTTGCCCTCTTCTTGTTATTCCAGTTGCTTGATCACTTGCTGTCTGTTATTTTCTCTGTCACTGCAGGTTTAGCTCTCACCCTCCACCTGTCAGAAGTTTCACTGGTGGTGGGAGTAGAGAGTGGAGCGGGGGGGCGAAAAAAACAAATCTATGACAGATAGCAGGAAAAACACACAATTAATCATACAGTGCGCTCTTGTTTTTGGTTTCTGATTGAAACTTGGCAGAGGAAACACGACATTCAACACGGAAGCAGTGAAGTGCAGCTTAAATTGGAGGATTAGGTATGTTTGGTAAATATGTGTTATGTTGCTGGGATAGTGAAGTACAATACAAGTGGAGTTTAGGCAGGCAGGGAAGGGGGGGGGCTGCTGAAGTTTTGGGGGAAGGGTGGGATTGTTTTTTTTGTCAGGCCTGCTGTCCCCAAACTTTTGCTTTTAGTGTGACTCACTTTTATGCCCGGAGCTTACCTCCAGGTGAAAAAGCAGTCATAAAGTAGATGAGGCTGCTGACAGGATGTGATTTTTATGTGTATTTGCATGTGTGTGTCTCCTCACTGTTCCTTCTTTCTGTTCTTCCCCCCCTTAATTGTTTCACTGTGGTAAAAAGAAAAAACAAGAAACCAGGCTTGTCAAGGACTAAACAAACCCTTGTTAAGCCAACATTTTTTTGTAAAACGACATACAGTGAACAAACCTATTGTTCTCCTCTGGGTTTAAAAGATACAGTTTATTGATCCACTTGGCTGAGATCTTCAGTGTCTGGAGTTCATTTTCACCAACCTTCAAACCCTCAATGTTAAACCTCTCGCTCTGAGAACCAGTTTGATGAAAACTGCTGCTCTCTTTCAGAGCTAGTCTCAACCTGTTTCATTAAGCCTGCTATCTTGGGCAGATAAACTGTAAACTGCAGTCACACAAGCATGTCCGATATCTTGTGGTATGCAAAGGCAGATTGGAAGGTGCTGATATCATCGAGAGGCCGTCTGCCTGTCATCATCCCTCTCTGGCTCCTGTCCAGGCAATCAGAAATGCTGCCGAGCTCAAACCTGCGCAAACATTCCGTAAACAGAAACCTGCCATTTTGAAGTGCCAGCCACTGTTTGTATATCTTCTTTTTTCTCTTGTGACGTGTTCACGGACAGTGTGCATTCCACTTCTGCAGCCCTCATCTCTATCGTCGGTTCTGCTCAGCGGTTGTATTGCTCATAGTAGAGTACATACATCCAGCCAGTGAGGAAATATGTGGGAGGA